CTGGCAACTAAACTTCTGACCTTCATTCTAGACCGCTGGACTACAAAATGTTATGCGATAAACCTAGGTCACGTACGCTATTTACCTGCAAGATGTGTTGAGAAAACTTGGGCCACTATACTTCTTATTTACTTGGAAACTAGACACATATCCTCGTAAAATGCTTTTCTAAAACAATACAGGACGTTCGAATTGCATTGTGGGTTCTACCGACACACCAAACGGATCGAAAATAAAGCATTAGCCTCCACTTTCATTATTTTTAACTTATATGATTACCAGTATGAAACAATTTATATCAATAAATCATAGAATCAGGTTTAGGAAACTAACGAGTAACTCACCCAAATCATCGCATGTAATCTAGTTTAACGCAATAGATTATACAATATACCTCATATATTTAGTAGATCGTAATAGATTACGCAGTAAATGTATTTTATACTTTACGTGGTGAAAATTCTCCTCATTGAACATATATGTAATTTGCACAGCGGACAATGACCCGTTGGCAAATAAATCAATAAAACTTGGCAGTGTGGATGTCATTATAATGATATATAATATCACTCTGGCATTGATCAAACAGAGCTATTAAAATCAGTACCGAGCGTACATAAATACTTTCATGTCGGGAAACTGTTATCTGAATGTACAGTACCATTACCATATGATAAACATTTAATCCACAAAAACCCAACATTATAGAGCTGAGAAGAGTTTAACTAATTTGCAATCATTTATTTTATAATATCTCATCACATCATGATTGGACATATTTGATAGGGAAGAATTTCTATTATGTCAGTCGGGTCTGGAACATATTACAAAATTAAGAGGGAGAATTACAGAAGATGAGACAAGGAACTAAACTAGACAGATTTAAAAAAAATAAAGATAAAAGATACGATACACCCCTAATCAATATAACTTGGAAATAGTACCAGAAGATGAAATATCAGGGACACATTTCATTCTTAAATATTGTAAGGGACAAAATAATGAAGGAAGAGGTGGTATAAATCAGAGTATTATATCATGTGTGCCGTTTATTTTCAGTTCTCAAATGCAGAAAGAGCAAATATTATAAGATCTTTTTCTATTATTCTAGACAGCGTTAAAAAAAAGTCGTTTGCATATGTAGAAAGTTATAATTCAGACGAAAACATGACAACTAGAATTCAACAATATATTTCAGCGTTAAAGTTTATCGTTATCAGTCTATGAAAATAAATCACATTATAACCATTGATTTATTTACAGACTGAGGAAAACTAAAGAAATTAAAAACTGTTTAGATAAATAGATACACCATAATAGAGATGTAAGGAAAAATTATAGAACAGCGTATAAGTTTAATAACTTTGCAGAGTTTTGTATGGCAAAGATCTTCTTTAAAGAGGGTGTTGCCACTGTTAGTTTAGGTGTTGCTGCCACCTTTACCATTCTTTCCTTATTTTTTAGGGGTTATTTGGTGCAACTTTATTATAGCTTGTTGCAAAGGCTTTACAGTACAAGCTGGTATACAATAAAGTTCTAAAACACAACAAGACTGTAATCTCTAGTATAATCAAGTAGAAACACGAAACCAGGACTGCGCATCGCTAAAGTAGCGGCAAATTGTCACATGATGTCACTAAGATTATATCGCATAACGTAGCTGCAAATTGTCTCAAGCTCTTTCTGTCTAATTAAATGCCTAAATAAATTTAAATTACCGTAGAATAACCGTCTAGGAATTAAATAGCATTTAAAAATTCATATGATGACAAAGACGGTAAATTATATATCTCGATATAGAAAATATGTTGGATAACATTGAAATCCTTAGAGAATGAATTACTGACAGCAAGCCACTCTTTTGTTTGTAACAGATTGTCAAGTAACTATTTGTGGTATATGATAAAGAATACTTATGATCAGAAAGAAAGGATATCTGTTTAATCCAGCATTTATTTAATGCTGAGACACAAGAAAACACAAGTCGGCAGCATCTTGATCGAATGTATGATTGTGTTACACAAAAACACATGAGCAGAACTTACAAAATGTTGTAATAATACCTAGGCTTGGATAAACTGTTACTATTGAACCTGGGAGCTTTTCTTTATCACTTGACGGAAAGATTATCGGACATGCAAATAATTTAGTAGTAAAATAAATCTTGAAACAATGATAGTTGAGGACTTAAGCTGTTATTAATGTATCGATGATAACTTAGACTGAATGATACGAGCATTTACATAAGGTTTGAAATCTTGTGATTACCAACGTTTTTGAGAACCCAAAAATATAGCAAAGCATAATGAATAAAGAAAGAAGAAGCTGCGATCAAACGCAACATTTGTGCAAACCTGTGGTTCAAAAGCTATTCAATGTATTGTATACTCAAAGAAATTTAGATTTCAGCAAAGTTTACAAAAAATAGAAAGATCTATATCCCTTGTATCTTTTTGCATGCACCTTTACGGGATTTGAGATTTATAATTCTGATTATTTATGAGTTATTGCGTAACAATATGAATTGTAGTTTCATTTTATTACAGAATTATTATCTGGGTTAGACGGGAATGTATTAATAGAGCTGATTACACGACCTTAACTAACGAACTACCTGACAAATGAAATTAGTTGAAACGTTAAAGGAAGCATAAACAATAAAGTTGTCTTGCGTATAAAATAACCGTTTAATAACATTCGTAGAAGGAGCTTAATTAGCATGGTTCCTAAGTCAATGGTCATACGGTATTTATTATCGACTAAATAACACTTGTCATTCTATGGAGAAAGAACAATATTGTTTATTTGGGTATTTTTTATCTCATGACGGAAGGAGGTAGTCACATTCATCTTGGTCATTTGCAGTTTGGTTGAATAAACAATCTTTGTACACATTTAAATTGAAATTCTTTGCAACAAGATAATTATTAATAAGTTTTTATGCTGTTCTATCTACCATATAAATTTTTAAATCATATAGCTTACAGCTGACGTCACACAATTATTGTGTTGGTATGCTATTCATCTCATTTTTAAACAATTCAGCACTTTTTATGGTTAACGATATTATATATATATATATATATATATATATATATATATATATATATATATATATATATATAGATATATCCATATATATATATATTTATATATATATATATATATATATATATATATATATATATATATATATATATATATATATATATATATATATATATATATATACATATATATATATATATATATATATATATATATATATATATATATATATATATATATATATATATATATATATATATATATATATATATATATATATATATATATATATACTGTAATTTTTGCAATCGCTTGTGTAGCAAAACTGTATATTTTATTCCTTGTTATTGTCAAAGTTTTCTGTTTCTACATAGGTTTGATTTTGGCACTGTATTCGTTCTTAGCTCAGGGGTTTTGGGGTCCGTCGCATGTCGCCATGGGGCTGCTTATTTACATCTGCCTGTGCGGGTTTTACTTCTTAGACGTAGAGCGTGTAAGTGCATGTGTTTAAGAGCTTTAGAATAATAAATTATACAAAACTATAGTCTTGCACGGGGAATGTCAGGACTGCTTTGTCTGCTTGGATGGATATTATTAATAAAGTGTGATTTATCAAATTCAGCCAACAGACAGAGGGTGTATTCAATCCTCATATTGGCTAGAATGTATATTCTTAAAAGTGAATGAAACTGGTCAATCCGTCTGAACTTCTGACTTGCAAACCATGGAAAAGATCAGATGTAAAAAAAATGAGGGTACATACATGACATTAACAGACTGAAAAATAAATTGTAGAACACAATAGAAGAAACCAAGACAAACGAAAAGGAAAATGAACCAACGGGCAGTGACAAACAAAGAGTAAGAGAAAGAAATACTCAGACACAAATTAAAAACTTACTCCACGAAACCTCTGTTGCGTTATCGTAATTTTTATTTAATTGGCATATTTCAGTAAAAATATTTTTTGTGACACGGTTATTTATGTGATGCATTGAATACACATATATTTACTAGCAATCTGTGAACATCTGCCTGCACACACTGACGTTTTGTTTTCACGCTTGATTGAACAAGATTCTGGTCGATCGCAGTATTTTTATAGTAAATTGTGGTAGATTTTAGTAGATTGTGATGGATTGAAGTGGAATGTGGTAGGTTGCAATGGATTGTGGTAAATTGCGATGGATTGTGGTAAATTGCGATGGACTGTGGTAAACTTTAGTGGATTGTAGCAGATTGTGGTAAATACTGCTCCGTTGTGCTATTTTCATGTTGGATTTGAGAAGATTATGGTCGATTGATATATTTTCTTGTAAATCGTGTTGCCGTATAAAGCTGTATGTTCGCGTCCAATAAGTTTGTATACAGTTATGGGGGTGGAAATTTCAATAATTGACTTGGTAGGACAAAGGGGAATGGGTGTTGTTGAAAAGACCCTGTAGGCATACTCCATATGTTTTGGCCTAATTTATGTTGATATACATTGATCACATAGGCCAGGTATCAAATATTTGAGATAAACGAATCCGAATTTCACGTAAAATCACCTATGCCACCCACTACTGACGCGCCCATGGTCGAAACGCAAATTCCAAACGTTCTTACATAACATGTACCTATAGAATTCATGTCCGTTGCTTCGTGGGTATAACTTTCACAGTATTGATAATTCAAGTACATTACATGCACTACGAACGTGTGTACGTGATGTGATGTGATTATGATTTTTAACGTAGCTTTAACAACTTTTCAGTCATATCGCTACGATGTCTGAATTGTGGCAGTTTATAGTTATGTCTAGCACTGGGGCCTAATGCCGCAGACATGTAGTATGATGTCCCACCAGGTCACATTATCCTGACACTAGGCCGAGCAGTCCTATCACTAACCTCTTAATGCTGAGCGTCAAGCGAGGCAGCTGTCAGCACCATTTTTGTAAGTCTTTGGTATGACTCGACCGGGAATCGAACCCAAGACCACCCGCATCCGAGGCAGATGCTCTAACCACTAAGCCACCGGAGTGGTTTAACGTGTGTATGTGTAGACGGACTGACGAACAATGTAACAATGTCTTCATGCTTCTTATCCAACCCGGGAATAAACGTTCATGACTGAAAAATGTTAAGAAAACTGCATCTGAGTTGTTATCCTTGAAAATGGGTTAGGAGTATATGCAATTTGTTAAGCCAGTGCCCTTTTTAGAGTGTTGAAGCTATATTTGAAGTCCGCTTGAGAAAACAACGAATTCACTTTTAGTTGTAGTGTCCTGATCCACTGCCTTCAATGAATACCTCTATTGTCATTGTTCAGATTTACTTTTCTCAGATTACTTCGCCAATATCTCCATTGTCATGTTTCGTTACTTTCCCCGTGTTTACCTGGCAATTGTTTTCCTGGACTATATTCGTTTCTCTACAGTATTTGAAACATGAAATTTGTGGTAATTCTAATAATAAAAAAGACGAAAAAGAGTTAAGGAGGAGCTTTACTGATGGACAGATAATGTTTTATATTCTAATTGGCAATGAAAAGTGCAATTCGATCGGATTTGAACAACAGTATCAATGGCCAACATGCAACGAAAAATGAATAGTTGTAAGTACGCTATTTCAATACATTTGTTTAAATGACTACGGAACATACTGTGGTGAATTGCTGAATATTTTTCCACATTAAATGTTCAGCCAAATGAACTAATTAGTGAAGATGTGATTTCTATTTTGATGAAATGAGTTATTATAGACAGGGTTAGGTAGATAGTACAGGCCCAGCCATTAATGTATTATAACATTAGTCTTCGTTTCATCTGCTTTGTTGATAGAACCTTCGTACGAGGGTGGGGTATGTATGTATGTATGTATGTATGTATGTATGTATGTATGTATGTATGTATGTATGTATGTATGTATGTATGTATGTATGTATGTATGTATGTATGTATGTATGTATGTATGTATGCATGTATGTGTATATATACATATGTATGTATGTATGTATGTATGTATGTATGTATGTATGTATGTATGTATGTATGTATGTATGTATGTATGTATGTATGTATGTATGTATGTATGTATGTATGTATGTATGTATGTATGTATGTGTGTGTGTGTGTGTGTGTGTATGTATGTATGTATGTATGTATGTATGTATGTATGTATGTATGTATGTATGTATGCATGTATGTATGTATGTATGTATGTGTATGTATGTTTGTATGTGTATGTATGTATGTATGTATGTATGTATGTATGTATGTATGTATGTATGTATGTATGTATGTATATGTATATATATATATATATATATATATATATATATATATATATATATATATATATATACCTATCTGTCAACAGACTTTTCAAACTCCAACGTATATATTTACTTCTTTATGAGTATTTAAGCCCTTAAAAGGGTAACTTATGATAATTGGCATTTCAATATTGTAAGTACTCTCAACATTTTTTTTACAAAGTCTTTTGTTTATTTTTCCTAATGTAATATAAACGTATCTTACAGTTGATCATAATAACATTTTGTGTTATACTTTTTCTTATGTAGAAATGTGTACTTAATTTATCTCAATGATCGTCATCAATGATCATCACACATGCGCTGCAGCTTTGCAAATTAATTTAATCACACTTCATAAATATTCCACAATCATGCACTGTGTTTTCTTTTCTTTGCTTTCATTCAATTGGCATCGATTATATCTATTTCTGTCATATGTAATCCAAATTTGGTGAAAAAAGAAAATCCATCGACTCTACTTTTCTCTATTAATGCAATATCGCATCCGGGGTCCTCCATTAAGCTTTCATCTATAAATACGATGTGCTGCAAAGTCATCTTGCCGCGTTGGTCCTTGTCAATCTGTCTTGATTGATTTATTGGATACACGATGATAATAATATATTATGGCGAAACATATTTTAATTGCGCATAAGGTCACGTCTATTTTCAGAAGCCATTTCTGGAAAGAGAATCAAAGGCCTCCTTATAGCGGCACTTAGAACCGTACTTTTACTGTAATTTAATGTAAGGTGCTTTGACTAAAGGTTGCTTAAGACAGATGACTACTTAATACAGATGAACTTTATTGTGCTAATTTCACAGTAATAAATAAATGTTTATTTTACTTAGTTACGGCATTGAAAATGCACATGGATAAAGGGTTGACTGATATTGAGGCCATCATTGAAGAATCCGCACGGAAAAATATTACACATTTCACAGCCTCACGGATTAATCGAGCAAAGACCACATTGCAAGATGTGACTGATTTTATCGGTGAAGAGAGCGGAGCTGGCTTCAAAACCAGGAGCATCAGCAAGCTGTTTGATATCATAGAGAACGAAGATTGGCGCACCCTGGTGAAGGCTGTCAATGATGGAACTATAAAAGAGGCAAAACGAGAACTTGCTACCTGTCAAACACAGCTTCATCATCTTGTATGTACATACACTTAGAATTGATTATTATTTTTTGTCATAGTTCAAGAAGTAACTTGTAAAACTCATTTCATCGACGTCCGAAGATTCAGCTCCAATTAACGATCTACTACTGTCGCGGAAGACTGAATATTACCAATGTCATGGTTGAGTTAACACTACAGCTTCTGCTGTCATTGCTGCTTGAAAGTTACTAATGGTGAAGTGTAAATTCGTGTTGTATAACATTACGAATAGACGTTATAAACTAAGATATTTACTAGTACTGTAAGTACCGTATATGATATTAAGTTATTCGGAAAACAGCACTCTGTTTTTAAGTTTCTTAGGAAGATCACAGAAAGACCTCAGCAAGAAAGTATAGCCTGGTTTTCTGTATCAATTAATACATTAAGAAGCTTAAATTTACATAGTGTTCGTTGCAAAAAAAATATATTATTTTATTTGTATCATGATACCAAATGTGCTGACTATGTAAGACAACCTAATGCAGATTTTAGAATGTACATGTATTAACGACATAAAATGTCATACGTTATGTGTCTTCAGACTAGGCAAATAGTAAATATGAACACGATTTTCATACAGTTAAAATACACACAATCCAATAATAATAGACATAATAGGAATAAACCAGTTAATGCCTTGGGTGTACTGATACTTGTGTTTAGAAAATATAATTTTTACTGTATCTTCATTTTATCATGTGTAGAAAGAAGAACAGGGACCAGACGGGAGACCCAAAACAAATCGAACCCAGACTGTCATTCAACCGAAGAAGTCGGAAACGGTTATATATCTCAAGAAGACGAACAAACCACCGTCCAGGGCCGACAGTAAAGTAATTACTGGGTAATACCTCTATTTTATTTAAGAGGTTTATTTTGGGTGTGTGGTGTTTCTATTCAATTTATTATTGATTCAATTATTTAATCATATAGGTTTCAGATCAGACTGATCGCTTCTTGGTGTATCACTCAGCTGGAATATACTGAGTTTTATTTTAGTCTCATCCTGGCCATTGGTTATAATCCTCAGTCTTACAGGAGAATAGCCTATCGTGTGCTGAAAAATGGCGTTAAGCCCAACAACAACAACAACAACAACTTACAGGAGTACATAAGTTCGTGTAAATTTCTTCGCAGAACACTGTCTTTACATTCTTTGCTTTCCTTCAAGAGCAGCGTCTCTTAAACAGTCGAATTCTTTCTTTACCATTGGTGACTGCCTCTGATGTACCGTATAACATACAGGTAACAACATAAAAATGTTTTTTCTAACTTCAGATCCGATACACCACGAATGAAGCAAAGTCAGACCCAGACAGAACCGGAGAAATTTGAATTAATCAAAGTCATTGACAACAGACCGGAAAAATCTGACGGTTTGCCACCAGAACCATTACAGGAAGAGAAGAAAGAAATGTGAGAGTAAAAAAAAACAAACATATCATACACCCAAATCAAATCTTCAAATGGATCATTTTAGCATTGTATAATATATCACATCCAGTTTCAATATCGAATATATTGTACTTGATGAATATCTTTAAAACATTTTTAAGTTAATATCTTGAATAGTGTTTTTGTATCCATTATTTGTTCTAATCTTTACTATTTCTATCAAACAGTAATTTCCTTCTCTTTTTCATCACAGCAGGACATTTCCTGAAAAATGTTAAATATTAATCATATATTCTGGAACCTAAATTATATATGGAAAATTGGATGTTATTCATGGCAAATAATAGTTTAAAACTTACAAACAACGGATAAAATACAAAGTGCGTCAAAAGTGCATTTTTCGTAAAAATACAACAGCATATGGTTAATCCAAAACTCTTAACAAAAACAGAGAAATGAGCTTTATGTGCAATTCTTTTGCAGAATTGAAGAAGAAAACGGTAAATCACCCAAGGAAAACACTCGAATATATGACTTGGAGCAGAAAATTGAATTCCTTCAGAGTGAAATTCAAAACTTAACTGAAAGGTAACAGGAACTAATGAAAATATATCCTTTCAAAGGAATACTCGTCGTCTCTTTATCTGATTTTGTTTAGATTATTCTAAAATATGTTTTCTTGAGACAGTCATGACAGATAAATAAACAGCTAACTTTTTAGAACGACGAATCGTCTTATAGTGATTGATACATGCATGTAGATAAAACTGAATAAACAAATTGTTGACAGTGACGAGACGCACTCTTTCAGTCTTTTGATATTAGATGATGAGGGTGAATATATAACAATGAGTTGCTTACACATGCTTCTTTGTCAATTTTTGCATTGAATCTTTAGAAGCTATTATGCGGAGAAAGCTGAGGAAGAGAAAGAAAATCAGAGAGTTAAAGAACTAGAACAGTTGGTGAAGGACCAAAAACAACAAATTGAGACACTCTCCAACACGTATGTATGCAAATTTACAATCTTGCTGAATTAGAAGCCCATATGTTTACATAATAAGTTGAATTCACAGAACGATTATGTTTCGTCAGTTAACCCGTCTATTAGCACAACACATCTATTAACGCAACATATCTATACAACACAAAATCTATTCATA